CATACGCCTGCTGAGTTGGCTAGTGTCTTGAAACACGCACGCACACACACAAACACACACACACAAACACACACACGCACGCACACACACAAACACACACACACAAACACACACACACACACACACATTGTCATTCAGCTTCGTTGATCATCTGAACGCTGCAATCATCATCTCAGTCGTATCCACAGCAGTATTAGTTTCATGAATTTCGCGTACATTTCTGCACAGTCACACTGGTGCTGTTCCAGAATGAGAACATTTGAATATTACTATTTCTACCTCATTACCATAATGGTCAATAAAGCTGATTTGTCAGAGGTCCATTCTGATTGGACATTGGTTCTACGTAGCACAGTTGTGCTTTCTGCAGACAGAGGCCCAACTTTCAACCTTTATTGTCACTAACAAACTGGTAACATGTTACAATTTCAGTTTAAGCCCAAGTGACCAATCACACTGCTCCCTCAATGCATCTCTCTTGTAGATCTATGTGGTCCCAGTACTAACACTACAAAGCAAAGCACTAAACGTTAAAGGCTGTAAAAACTCACAAGTCTACATTCAAGAGCTGAACAGCTGATGATGATTTCAACAATCAATAAAAGCGTTTTGGACATCCCCATCTTGGGTGTGTTTTTTAACTCCGATAATAAAAGATGACAAACTTGGCAAGCTGCTGTTTTATGAGATGCAATTATTCTGAATCATACCGAGTTTTCTAGCTTGACTCTAAATGGGCCCATCATTTACAAAATGGACAGGACAATGTATTGAACAAGATTTAAAACTCAAAACCTCCAACTCATTAGGAAAACGTTTACTAAGGTTTAAATGAAGTGATACACAGAGTGACGCTGAGGAGTCCATGCCTGCTGGCCTTTAGAAAAAATACAGCTTTAGGGAATGACAGAGTGACAACACAGCCATATTTTACATATTGCACATGAGTTTGACAAATAAGATGAGTTCACCTGTTTGGTACTTGAGCTGGTATCCAGTCAGGATGCCATTGGGCTCCAGAGGTTTCGCCCATTCCAAGTGGATCGTGTCCAAACTTCTGCGATTAATCTTGAAGAACCTTGGAGCGTCTGGAACTACAATCACAACAAAAGAGAAAAAACAGTGTGCAACATAGTAGCTACATGCAGTTTAGACACATGTTTGGACTGCACCAAGAAAAACTGCAGTGTGTGTTGTGTGTCTTAAAGCTTACATGCTTAGTCAGCATCATGGAACACAATGTTCAAGTTCTGACACAAGGTGAGTTCGTACCAGCTCAGTGTGCGTACTGGGCCATTGTAAGGTATGCAACGTCGACAACTACTTTATTCCTTTCTGCTCCACCTGATGCTCCAGCCTACATCACATGCAATGGTGAAGTAGTTATTTGATCCAGTGCTGAATTTGTATGTTTGCTTACTTTCAAAGAAATGAAGTCTCTAATTTTGATGGTAGTTTCATTTTAATGGAGAGAGACGATCGACCATGTCACTGAGTGTAACAAGAATCTGATCCCCAACAATCCTGCCAGAATTCTGATTGCCTGTGTTCCCATGTGGCCAGATTACAAACCTGATTTACTCAATCAAAGAAATTCCTCATCTGAGCTTGTTATCTGTAAGAAGCACAGCTGTCCACAGAATGAATTTCTTTTATTCCAGCCTCTCCACCACAATGGGAAAGACCAAAAAGCTGTGCAAGGTTTTAGGCCTACACACGAGTGGAATGGGCTCCAAGACCATCAGTGAGAAGCTGTTGGTGTGACTGTTCGGAAAGAGAAGAAATATAAACTGACTATCAAATGAATCTGAATTTAAGGACAGATTGAACCACAATCACCAAGAACACCATTGGTACCACACTACACCGTAAAACAGGCCGTTCATACTCCTCACAGTCATTAAACAATGAACAAAATTCTTCACAAAGGTAAGACAAGCTGATTTTGTCTTCCCTTTGCTGTCTTGCTTCCACCATGATAAAATTGGACTTCCTGCACAGCTCTGTCTCGTGGTGTTCCTTGAGAGCAGTTTCCCATTATAAATCTCTATTTTCTGCCTTATTTGTTTCTTATTACACACTTATTACCACTCTCGTTTCTTACAGTGCTGTCAGACACTGTCTTGTTTTTCTCCCAAGAAAGCCAAATTTCTGCTATTCAATACTGAACAGCAGAACATGAACTGAACTTCAACCCATTGTGGCATTAATGGGTTTTCTTGGAACACCCACCAGGTCCCCTTGCTCAAGAAGACACATGTACGAGCCTGTCTGGAGTTAACCAGTGAACATCTAAAAGAACGCCAAGCTATAGTCAAACACAGTGGTGTTTTTCTGGGTACACTGAGGGGCCAATGGATGGGACCATGTACCGTCAAATCTTAGACTGTTCATTTATTTGAAAGATGACCTTACAAATTCAGCACACGATCAAAGAATTATTTCCCCCTGTATAAACCTGTTATTTTTAGGGTGGGTGCACAGCATCCTCACCTCCTTCTTTGGTGGTAAATGCCACAGTGTTGCTGGGTTGACTCTCAAAGCGATTGTTGGCCACAACCATGAACATCTTGTAGTTCGAGTAGGGCGCCAGGTCGCTGAGCATGCCAGATGGTTTGACCGTAGTGCTATAGAAACCTTTGACCTTCTTCTCCTTACTGACCACCAGACCTGGAACCTGGCTAGACTCACGCCAGTAGTATAACTGGGAAGCAGAATGGGAAGAAAGGTGTTAATAGGCGAGACGTACAGGAGATGGGAGGACATTACACAAGAGAAATTATCCAAAATTGATCATGAAAGATAATTGGAAATTATGTATCGGAATAACAGGAGCGGGACCACGCCTCCAAACACGGTTCTCATCTATATAGGTTCTCCCAGTTCTGCAAGCCGTCGTTCTCGTTTGCATGCCCCACCCTCCCTTCTTTAACTTCTTCACTTCTAATTAGTCCATGGGGATCTGCCAGGCTGCCATCACCAGTCCCCTTCGAGGCCTTCCCCAATCGCAGCTCAATTCGTGACCAAGCATCACCTTTACCTACTAAAACGCTGTCAAACCTAAAATGAGGACGTGAAATGATGCGTAATGTACCAACTCTGGAGTTTGTTCTCATTAGAAAAACCAAAGGCAGTCTTACTCTATACTCCTTGAACTCTCCCTGGACAGAGTTCAGGTCCACAGGGTTCCAGTGGATGATAACTTTGGTGCTGTCAACCTTTGATACCCGCAGGTCAGGTGGAGCATCAGTGGGCTCTGAACACATCCAAGTGGACACAATATGTGTGAACAGTCAGCAGTATTTTCAAAACAAATTGTCAGTTTGGTTTTCACTTTTCCTCAGCCTCCACATGGGTTGCTCTCATAAATGAAAAGCTGCTTCGTAGTCAGGATTTACTTACTGTCTTCTCCAGAGTATCCAATGACCAGGTTAGACTCTGGTCCTGCTCCAAACTCATTCCTGGCCTGGATTTTGAGCTCATAAGGCACATAGATTTCTGTATTGTGGACCACATGCTTAGTCCCCACTGTGGTCAGGTTATTCCACTCCTCTTCAGCGTCTTTTCGTCTCCACCACACAATGTAGTGCAGGTTTGGACCATTTCTTTCCAGATCAAGGAGAGGCTAGAAAAGTCAACAGAGAGATGCGCCTGAATTTACACATATTGGCAGGACAAACGATGAGTTATACTTATCAAATTACATGTTATAACTGTTTGGTGGTTATATACATTTACTTAGACATTGGAAGTTTTGCATCTAACCTTACTGTACAAGGGGATAAATTCTGATTGGACACTTCCAAGCTTATTCCACAACATGTTGTGTTTATTTGTGAACATGTTGATACATTTCATCATATTTCTGTGCATTATTTTTGATTTATTTATCATCTTGTTTTTGGTCAACAAAAAGGAACGCTGTTAGATGAAGCAACATTTTATGGGGAACGTTTTATCTTGATGCAAGGAAATGTGAGAAAGTTGTGCAGATTCACTCTGAAACTGTGAAACATCCATGCAAATGCATTAAATAAGGCAAAAAGACAGAGTCTGAACCAGTGTTGAGTTTGTTCGCTAATAATTTTTGTTAATAAAAAGAAGATGAAAATTATGATGAAATGTTTTGACACTTTTGTTGACCAATAAAAATCAGACAGGAGAGATTAGACCCAATCAGAATTAATCAGCTTGTGTAGCGACGACTTTTGATCTCCTTGGGCAGAAAAATTTATCTCACAAGCTGAGAGAAGATGTGAAGGAAAACACAACATTTTGTAAACTATACGGCACCCCGGCAAAAACATGACAAACTTTTAGTTAACTGAATTCACTTCAGATTAAGTCGACGACAATCTTATAATATTTAGTCGCCTAAAACAAGTTAGATGCCTAATTATGACTTAAACTAAAAAGACTGAAACTAAATCCAAATTTGCTGACAGAATTAAGACGGGTACTGTTCTACTCTCTCAGGCAAGCTTTCTTTAGCTCTTCAGCCTTCTTGAAGGACACTGCAAAGCTCTTCTTTGGATGTTAGCGCCCTTTAGTTTGATTCTCTGATCCCATACAATTTCAATAATGTTGAGGTCCAGGTTCTGGTAAGGCACATGCATGACTGAAGGTGTTCCACTGTGGATCTCTCTCTATCCAGGTCCACACATTGGCTGTAAATGGTTCTTATATAGTGCTTTTCTGCTCTGCCTGAGCATTCAAAGTTCCCTGTGTTTAGTATCACTGTTGTACTGAAAAGCTAAGCTCTTACACTAAGACCATTCTAATGAGGCTTATGCAAATCCTAGATTGATCAACATAAGGTCCATCTGTTTGGTCCTGTGTCAGCGCAACACTACATTTTTTCAAATCGTGTTTCTGTTGTAAATAGTGTTTTGGGCCTGCTGCTTTTACTCTTTTGTCCACTTTTGTGAAATAGACACACTGCACATCACACCAAGATGTGCCACGTTTTCAGCTAATATCAACTTGTTGAAGCAAAAATACTGTTTTATGTCTGGCATACTGTTATCTTCGGCATTTTTCACTCTGCTAGTAACAAAATGCATAAAGATCCTATTTAACATTGCGGGGAACATGTGCCACCACACAAAACAGTCCTAGCTGCACCTTTGCACACAGGACTTTGTGCTTTCAGCTGACAGTGCTAACCACCAGCCTAAAACGTTTGTCATGGTCACCTGATTACACATCTGCATTCAGGTGACCCTCAGTTTCATTATACTGTTAACATGTTCTCAGTGCAGACTACACTGTCTTACTGATTCATTCCCCATACGAGACGTCATCTTACCTCCCAGGTGATCTCCATATTGTCCTTTCTGGACCCCCAACCCCGTAGGCCTTTGGGAATGGCATCTGGTGCTTGTTTCAACATAACAGAGCGCACTGACATTAACCAGAGTCAGCAAAGCTTCACACTTATTCAACTGCAACTGTAAACCTTTAGTGAACATACGTTTCCAAAACATTGTAGCTAATTTGAGTACATGTAAACTAATAAGACTGACCAATTGAAACATCAGAGGTCAAATGATTGCATGCGATGCTCCTTACCAGCTCCAGTGGTCTTGTACCGGGGCGAGGGGCGGCTGGGATCACTCTGACCTACTGAGTTGATGGCGATGACCCTGAACTGGTAGTTGACAAAGGGAGCGAGCTGCAGGATGACAGAGTTGAGGTCTCCAGGGTAAGATGACAAGTTCTGCCATCTACCCGGCTCCCAGCGGTCCTCTTCAAACTGGACCAAGAACTCTGAGGAGAGACAGAACTAATGAAAAAACCAAAACAGGAAAACCTGCTGCAGGTCTGTGAGTCCATGTGTTCTGGAAGCACGCCATGTCCCATCCATTTGTCCACTTCAGCTTGTTCAAAGATCCAGTATACATTTTACAACCTTTCAGTATCCACATGGATTATAATTTACCCAAATCCTTCAGTAATAGGATTTTGAGTTTAGCATCCATTCAGAATCAAGTCTCAACTGTGGTGACCTGAAACTAACTAGGCTACTTTTGCTTACACAGTCTCCCCAACAGGATCAGTTTTTGAAAAAATAACACAATCCTGTCAGGATCCAGGCTGATGTGTGCCTACTTACCTGTGATGGGGCTCCTGTGCTCTTTTCCAGGGATCCAGGTGAGGCGAACGCTGCGTGCTGCTGGGTCTGACAAATCCAGATCCATGGGGGGGTCTGGACGGGCTGAAGAAAGACAAGACATGGCTTTGATTGTGTCAGACACACAGAAACATGCATGCAACCTTTTTTCATCTAAAACAAATGACTCATTGGGAGCAGTGCAGAGAGTCTCCTCTCAGCACGGACACATAACACTGTCATCATAAAGGGTTCATACAAACAGTAAGACAAAGAGACACTAGTTTAAAAACAACAAGCACATAACAAATTAAAAACAGGACAGAGACAAACAGTAGATAACATAAAACTTCCAACTGAGCTGTGTGTTACCTGGAAGCAAGGCACTAGAGACTGAGGGGTTGAGAGTGGCCACCTCTGTGGGACAGGGTCAGGGAGCAGGAAGTGGGTACAAAGGTTAGAGTCTGCAGGTTAGTCTACAAGCCAATCAACAGCAAGGGATTAAGAATGCATTTAGCACACATAGTAATAAGGTAAGTTACACAGTTGTAGACAATCACGTAATCACTGGTTTTACAAATAAAAATGCTCACACTGGTGACGACATGTGGATTAAAGAGTGCCTGCTATTATTTAAATACACACACGCACGCGCACACACACACACAGATAAAGGTAAACAATCGTTGAGGCTGAGGTAAAGTAGCAGACTGTCCTGTGGCACCATGGCTACACTCATGAATGCTGCCCCCTACAGGCCGAGCAGGAGAGGTGCCCTCAGCTCACAGCTACAGTCTGTGATAGTGTGGCATTTGAAAGCAGTTGGTGTTCTTTGCTCACGAACACTTGAAGCGTGTTGTTGAAAGATGACATGTTTGATGATGGACTAAATATAGACTCTGAATAATAAATGGGTGCAGTCTGTCTGTGTTGTGTTTTCAGGAACACGATGCTGTTCTCCAACCAGTCCCAAAGACTCAATCAGTCTGTGTAGGAGCATGCCACTGGAAGCACTGCTGTACTTCTTTCAGTGTTTCACACACTACTGCTGAACTACAAAATGCTGTATGACTCTCACATTGGAGTCATTTGTTTCGTTTTTACACATTCACTGTAAATATCTGCTTCATACGTACAATGACTGTTTTCAGCTAATACACAGCACCGTGCATAAAACTGAAGCCTTGAAATGTGCTGAAGCTCTTTGTCACATCCTGATACCATCAAAGTGCAGTCTGACTAGTTTCATTCAAGCATCAGAGCCATCACAATGATCTGAAGCAACATGAACATGAAAGTCTAAAGTAACAGAAGGTCTTTCACCAAATGCAGTTAAAGTGCAGTATGTATGCACATGTCTTCAGCAGCTGAAACCAGTGCTTTACATGTTTTAGCCATGTCTGCCTAAATCCACAGTGTGTTCACAGCGTGTTCACAGGGGGCCATTGATTGTTGGGTTTCCTCTGTATGTATCATTGTAGGTCTGCCTTACTACATAAAGGTGACTGTTGTTGGTAAGTGTAAATGTAAGAGAAAATGACATATTTTAAGAGTACACTCAGAGTAATGAACTAATGAAACAACACAATGTCCAGTCTGTATGTGAGTGTACCTAACACAGTGAGGCGAGCAGAGGCTGAGAGCTGGTCTATCTCAGATTTAGCAGTGCAGGTGTACGTCCCCTCGTCACCCTCGTTCACATTGGGGATGGACAGAGACTCATCATCCTTCTTCAACCTAGGAGACAGATACAGAAAGGACTGTCATACATGTAGTAACAGCACTAGAGCTAGTCTTTATTCATATTCATACAAAAACCAAAGAAACTCATTCCTGGAAGAAGAGTGTTCAGATTTCTGTTCATATGAACTGCCTGTATGCTGACAGGCATCAGAGTAGCCAGCATACAAACCATTTGGGTCCATGCATTTACTTTTGTGGGTTTACATTTAAAAACAGTCCCAATACAATCCATTGAACATTGTTGGATTTTAAATCAGATAATCCAGATGTGACTGAAGATTTTCAGCTTCGATTCAAAGGGTTTGACAAAAGTGCTGCATCAGCAGTTTCGGATATACAGGCTTTTTAAACAGTCTCATTTTCAGAGACTCAACACTAGTTGGAGTGTCAGGGAGCTTCATGGCCAGGCGAAGCTTCTTTATTCCAAGTGAAGTCAGGTGTTGGACTTTAATTGGGTAGCAAACGTGGATACAAGAGAGCTACTATTTACTATTTTAAACGGTAACTGTAACAGAATACAGTTACTCATATTTTATATTTTGAATATGTGACGGTGGTACATGTACTCTGTTACTCCCCAACACTGGTTGTCATGCAAGGATGACTGCCACACAAACCAAAAGTACTGTTACCCCCACGACACAGATGGTCCTATATCACAACAAGTAACTTTACTGTACAAAATTCAGTAAAGTAAGTACACTGACAGCAAAGCACAAACGTGGAACCAAAGAAGACTCACATTTCCACTCAGTGACACCTGTGTGCTCTGTAAGACTCATTGTGGCGTGGCTCTCCTGGAGCCTGGTTTGTCTCAAGCTGTTTTCACAAGTCCTGACCTGTATCTGAAACTGAGTCTGCTGCACGCACCAGTTAGCAGCAAAATAATAACTCAAGAGTTCCTTAAGGGAGACAAATCTAATATTCTTCAATTGTTATTATAAAATCCTATGGCAATATAAACTTTATTTCTCAATTTGAATTCTAATGAATGTATTTAACTTGAATCAGTTATGTAGAACACGAGCAGAGGAAATGAGGAGAAATGACTGTGGCAGGAATGAGACACAACCACGTTTGAACATTCTCTTTATTATAGCTCACACACCAACAACAGCAACCCCACAGCAGGTCCCTACACCAGCCTTAAGCTGGCGAGGCGTGACTATGATGTGGCAACAGTGCATTCGCCTCCCCTGCAGCGGCACTGCCAACCACACCCTGCCACAATTACATTCAATAATGTATAATAATGATGAATAAAGTAGTCGTAGTAAGCCAATCACATGACCACTTCAAGATGACAAAGCAACAAGGTGACATATTCCAATTGTGTTGATAGGCCACGTAAAGCCAGAGTCATGATAAAGAATATAAACGTGTTTTTCCTCAATCGTTTCGTCACGTTTACTGTCTAAGCACAGCGCAGCGAGCGCGCTCTGCTTATAAGCAAACAATAAAACAACAAAACAAAAAACAGCCCATTGGTGTCGGTGGAAAAATGCACCATGACGACCAATCAAAAAATGATATGGCAACATGACGTTTGGTTGTTTAGGAAGAGGGGGGAGATTTAGGAGTGACTGCGAGAGAGAGAGAGTGCAGAAAAGGAGAGAGAGCGAGTTTTGAGATGTGAGAGATTTGTGATGTTTAGCGTGTTTGGAGTGTGTAGTTAAGAGATTAAGAGTTAAGAGATTTAGGAGTGACCGCGAGAGAGTGAGAGAGAGAGAGGGAGGGAGGGAGAGAGAGAGAGAGGGAGAGAGAGAGAGGGAGGGAGAGAGAGAGAGAGGGAGAGAGACAGAGGGAGGGAGAGAGAAACAGAGCGAGAGAGAGAGAGAAAGAGAGCGAGAGAGAGCGACAGAGAGAGAGAGAGAGAGAGCAAGAGAGAGCGAGAGAGAGCGAGAGAGAGAGAGAGAAGGAGAGAGAGACAGAGCGAGAGAGAGAGAGAGAAGGAGAGAGAGACAGAGCGAGAGAGAGAGCGAGAGAGAGAGAGAAGAGCGAGAGAGAGAGAGAGAGAGAGAGAGAGAGAGAGAGAGAGAGAGAGAGACAGAGAGAGAGAGAGAGAGAGAGAGAGAGAGGGAGAGAGAGAGAGAGAGAGAGAGAAGAGGAGAGAGAGAGAGAGAACGAGAGAGACGAGAGAGAGAGAGAGAGAGAGAGAGAGAGCGAGAGAGGAGAGAGAGAGAGAGAGAGACGAGAGAGAGAGAGAGAAGAGGCGAGGAGAGAGAGAGAGAGAGAGAGAGAGAGAGAGAGAGAGAGAGAGAGGAGAGAGAGAGCGAGAGAGCGAGAGAGAGAGAGAGAGAGAGAGAGAGAGAGAGCGAGAGAGAGAGACGAGAGAGGACGAGAGCGAGAGAGAGAGAGAGAGAGG